GCGACAGCAACAGCAACTAAACAAAGATAAACAAAATGCCTTTGGGGCAGCTGGCACAGACGAAACATTTTTTAATGCGACAAAAATGCTAATGAATCAGAAAGCAAAGGAATCTGATGAAAAACAAACAGACAATCAGAGTCCGAATGAAAATGTTAAAAGGTAATGGAAACACAAACACACAGAAAAAGGGACAGCAAAACAGATAGAGAGAGGAGATAAAAAGAGGGAGAGTGAGAGAGACATGGCCCAAAATGGACGTTCAATTGCTTGCGTGGAGTAGCTTAATGGATATTCGAATTTGAATTCGTATCGCAGCCTAACGACGACGCTGAATGGATTATGCGTCTACCGTGCTTGATTAGAGATGCGCGTGTCGTGCCGCCCAGAGTTGCCTTTAAATCTGATGAGCGCCATTTTGTAGAAGCTAACTCAATTTAAGTCAAGCCAAACACTTGTGGCTCATGCGCCCGAAGACATTGCGACTCTGCGGACGGACGAACAATTCAATGTGCTGCCCGGGAATGTATTTACTGTGTCAACTACAAAAATATGTGTATGCACATACATATATTCGTGATTAATATAATGAATTATTAGTTAGTTCGGTTCTATAGAACTTCATCCTTCAGTTATGAAATTTTATGCAGGTCTAAGAGTCTTGACATGGCTAAAAGACATCAAATATATAAATAGATACAAATAAATTGTAATATATATATATATATATATATATATATATATATATATATATATATATATATATATATATATATATATAATTTTTTTTTTAATCTATTTATTTATTTTGTATTAAATAACTTTTCTCTCAAAATTTTATTTAATATTCAACTAATTATAAGTTGAAAATTCAGTTGTTGCTAGTTTTTTTTTTTTATGGCGAATCTAGGCAAGCTTTAGTGGTCGCTTGCCATGCGATTTATGGAGTCAAGCGTTATTATGTTCGTTCTGGTTTTTAAATAGGTTGAAACCGCTCATTAACTGCTTTAATTATATAGTTAACACACACACAAAAAAAAAAAAAAACAGATTGTGCGCTAATGACTGCTTTTGTAGCTGAGCCAAATATTAGCAAAAAAAAAAAAAAAAAAAAAAAAAAATAAAAAATTATAATAATAATATATATAAATATTTAATACATTTTTTTTTATATATATAAATATTTAATATATCTAATAGTATAAGATGATTTACATATATCTAGTATATACAGACATATGTAAAATATTATTAAATAAATATTAAAAAAAAATAACTTGAATTGGGTTTACTATTCACAATAATTTATTAATTTATTTTTTTATGAACACTTATTTTTTGGACCTCAAAGTGACCCCCAACCGATTTTACTGGTATACAGTTTTGCCGATTTTTGTTGTCATCCTCGAAGCTTTTAAAAAATACTTTTTTGGGATCTTGTTCTTTGTTGCTGCTTTGTTGCTGTATTTCTATTTCTCTCGTCAATCGTAGCTTTGCATCGTCCTCTCATGGGCCCATTTCAGTTTCGGGAACAAGAAAAAGTCATTTAGGGCCAGTGCTAGGGAATATAGAAGCTGCGGCACGATTGACCTCTTGTTTTAGATGCCAACATTTGATACAGATTCTTTGTTCCATAATTTGGCAGAGGCAGAGATTAAAATGTTGGAATAAATGACCAAACTTCCCAGCTTAAGTTGGGGTAAAACAGAAAAGCGAATATCGAATATGAAATATGCCGTATGGTACACCGAATATCGATTATACGTAACTCGTTTATGAGCAAACCTCTCATGAAATTAGTAGTAGTAGTAGTATAATGAATATAATAGATTTGACAGCTGCTTAATTAAAATTAATTTTGTTTGCCTTTCTACTACAAATATGTTGATTGAATTCGAATCTATCAGCAAAAAGGGCAATTGAGTGAATCCAACTGTGCTATATCCTTGCCGAGGATGGGTGAGTGTACTTGCACTAGCTAGTAGCTACCTACTGAGCTATATAGGTTAGTTTAAGTAAACGACGCTTAGTCATGCATACTTAACTGCAGCGGATTTAGTCGTTTGTTTTCTGCGCTCAATTTAAGCCAAAACGATTTGCATGTAAAACAAAAAAAGTGCAACTCCAATGCGAGCTAAATACCAGGTGTGTGTGTGTGTGTGTGTAACCTGACTTATTTGCTGAAGCAATTAATGTGATGGCTTAAGGGCCATCAGGGCGGTATACCGCTATATCCGAGCATTTTCGGGGCTTAATCTCAAAGCTCCACACAGACAAAAACCGGGGGCTTAAGTAATTATGCATGCCATTTGTTGCTGTTGTTCTTGTTGTTGTTATTATTTTCTTTTGTTGTGCTTTTGATATTGTTTTTCTGTATTTGTGTGCGAGTGTGTGTGTGTGTGTGTGTTTGTTTATTTTTTTTTTGGCATGGCATAAGCGATAAGCGCAACCAGCACGACAGCAAGACAATTCAAGTGACACATAAAACAAATACAAATACGCATGCAAAACACATGAATACAATTACGTATGGTTTGCTTCTGTGTGTGTGTGTGAGTGTGTGTGTGGAGACATGGGCACATGCAAATTTATCATTTGTGTTGGCACAAATTTGTGCCTGCCTTGTGAATGACATGAAAAAGGCAATTTAAACTGCAGACACACATACACGCACGCACTCACACACACACACACACACACACAGAGAGAGAGAGAGAGAGAGAGAGAGAGAGAGCAGCAGCAACACTTAAGTATGCGAGTGCTGCTCCACAAACATTGACGTTTCGCATTAGAGCAGTCGACAGCAGTGCGCCGCTGCCGCCGCAGGCATTACAACAATTTCATACATATACATATAAGCTGGCACACCCGAACACACACACACACACACACGCAACAACCAGGCGCTTATCAGTGGCTACAACAATCAGGCAGGCAGGCAGACAAGTTGAACTCAACTAGAGCCACTGGAGCGGGACACAAAAAAACAGTTGAGCAGCAGAAACAGGAGACAACGACCCGAACAGCCAAATGACACACATACACATTCACATACACACACATGCACAGGCACGCACTTACACTAGCTGGCATACGCACTAGGCACAAAGTCGTAGACCGTTATCACTTATGGGCCGTTGCTACACTTACTTAGTCAAACCATAGTGCACAGTGGAATGCAAATGAGTTCAAGTTGATTAAAAGACAGACGGCGAGAGAGCGAGGGAGAGAGAGGGAGTCGGAGATGACAGAGGACCACTGAGTGAAAGTGAGAGAAAAACCTGAGTAAAGGAGAGAAAGATGGAGAAGAGAGAAGAATCGGAAAGAGAAGAGATAAGAAGAATAATGTAGAGATGGGCCAGGAGAGAGAGAGAGAGAGGGGGAAATAGAGAATGAGAGACTGAGGAATGAGAAGAAAGCAAAAAAGGAGGAAAATGAGTGAGAGAGACAGAGAGAGGGAGCGGGAGGGAAAGGGAGAGGGAGAAAGAGATAGAGAGAAACAGAAATCGAGATGTGAAAAGTGAGAGAGAGAAAAAGAGGGAGAGAATGCAAAAGAGAGACAGAGAGTGATAGACAGACAGACAGAGACAGTGAGAGAAAAAGCGAGCGACTGAGGAAAAGAAAGAGAGAGAGAGAGAGATAGTAAACTTACAAGAATCTGTATAAGTGTAATTATAATGCTCACAATAGGGTTCATAATAATCTGCATAATGATGCTAAAAAAATTGTTGAGGATTGATCTCGAAAAACTCATCATCAAGTGGGCATTTGAGCTAACGGTAAACACAGTCGTCGGCTGATCGCACATTTGTCTCTAGAATAAGAAACCGAATGTTCGGGATTATGAAATAGACGCAAACATAGAAGCATAAGGAGACATCCAGAACATTCGATATGCAGTAGAAGTAGGTATATAAGCGTGCTGTAAGTCGAGCCAAAGTTCATTCAGTAAGTTCAATGTGTAAGATCAATATCAGTGTGTCGGCTCGGTTAGTTAAATTCAAATCGTCGCGGTACGTGAAGAAGTGTACTTGTTACTGAATATTTTTGTTGTGTTAAATAAACTTATTACGTTGCACCTACATATACCGTGTTTCATTTAAGAAAAACCTTCAACAGGTTATGGGCCCAGACAGTGCTAAACGTGTAATGTAGTGTGAAATCGAGTGCAAGTACAAAAGTGAATTAGTGGCAAATTTGTAACTAAATAAAGACAATGAAAATGGAGCCATTAAATATGAGAATTGAACGATTACGCGACAAAGACAATTGGCATTTGTGGTGTTTTATGATTCGTACGCTATTGGAAGAAGACGACGATGTTCTTGCCGTTTGTGAAGGTAGTTTGACGTGTCCGACACAGGAGTCTGCAACATACGAGAGAGACTCGAAAAGGTTCTTGAAAGCTGATAAGACTGCAAGGAAAATAATTATTCATTCTATCGAGAGAAGACCGATGGAATTGATTGTAAGCTGCAAAACAGCAAGAGAAATGTGGATAAAATTGAACTCAGTGTATGATATGAAATCAGAAGAAAATTTATCGGCTATTCAGAAACAGTTTTTTGATTTCAAATGGATTGAAAGTGAGAGTGTGGACTACAATATTTCAAAGTTAGAAGTTTTGTGGAGCAAGATGAAAAATCTTGGAAGTGCTGTGCCTGAAACAATGTTAATGTCGCGAATCCTGTCATCTTTGCCTCAAAAGTTTAACTATTTTCATAGTGCGTGGGATTCGGTCGAAGACAGCAAAAGAACATTGAACAATTTGACGACTCGTTTAATGACAGAAGAAATGCGGTCAAAAGAACAAGAAGTGGTACCTGAAGAGTCAACAGCGTTAGTCGCCGGCAACGGAAAAAATAAAAGAGAACATGAAAATAAGAAGAAAATTATGAAGTGCTATAACTGCGGCGTGATGGGACATCTGAAGAAGGACTGCTACAGGTGTTATATATGCAAGAAGAAAGGCCACAAGAGCAACACCTGTTACCAAAGGAGAAATGCAGGAAGTCAAGCGGAAAATAATCAAGGAGAATCGGGTGAATCATCGAGGAAAGGATTGATTGCGAGCAGGGACGGCAGAGAAGATGACGTGTGGGTGATCGACTCAGGAGCTTCTGATCACATGTCAAGGCGTCGAGATTGGTATTCTACTTATGAAGAATTTTTGGAGCCCCAGAGGATAGGCGTAGGTAACGTTCCAGGGCCACCGCCGCTGCCCTCGTTGGTGCCAAAGGCTCCACCACCGCCCCCACCGCCATTGGCGCCCGGCGAGAAGCGGGTGCTCAGCGAAACGCAAAAGCAAACGCTCGAGAAGCTCAAGTCACGACCACGCAGACGGCCCGACTGGTCCGGGATGATGAAGGAGGTGGAGAGCGGCAAGAAGCTGCGCCACGTGGCATGCAACGACAGATCTCAGCCCATATTGACATGCAAATCGATGACCAAAGTGGACGATAAATTCATCTATGAAACAGAGAAGGACAACTCGCACAACAAACTGCTCAAGCAAATCCAGGGCGGCGTTCGACTGAGGCCCACGCAGACAAACGATCGCAGCAAGCCCATATTGGAGGGTCTGCGCAAGTTCGGACGCCAGATGACCATCGAGGAGCAGCTGCACAAGTCCCTGTCCAAGGTCAATATGCTGAGCGAGGCGCCCAGCAGCCATGCGCTGAACAGTGCGAACAGTGGGTCGGCGAGTGGTGCGGGCAGCTCCAGGCCCAGCATTGTCTTGACCATGTCCATCGATGAGGAGAGTCCCGATGAACTGGACGATATCGACAAGTTGCGTGACGATTTGCAGAGCACCAAGCAGATGCTGGCGCTGGAGCTGCGCAACCGTGAGGCGCAGGAACGTGAGAACAAGAAGCTCTTGGCCAAAATACGTACGCTCGAGACGGAATTGGAGCGTGAGAAGTCGCGCGAAAAGAATCTGGAGTATGGCTCCAATGTTATTGTAGCCACCATGGACCCCACGCCCACATCCGAACAGGCATATGTCAACTCACTGAAACGTGAAGTCGAGGACGCGCGCAAGGTCTCCAAGGAGGTGGAGAAGAACTATCACGACACGGGCAAACTGCTAGTCGAGGCGAAAACAGAAATCGAGGAACAAAAGCGACAGATACAATTGCTCGAGCGCAAATTGGCAGCTGCTTTGCAGGCAAATACGACACCAAGCACTAACAGACCGCTCATTAGTTTTCGCTTTGCTTACGACGACGAGGACGAGGACGATGATTACCACGGTGAGAAGGGGAGCAATCATAAGGGCGGCACATTTGATGGCTCGAGAAGACCGAGCGATCCACTTTTCGGACGCGACAGCTCACCCGAACTGGAGCTGGAGTTGAGCGAGAGCGATCCCGATGAGCCGGAGGAGAAGAAGACAGAGCGACGCGAGCGACGAATGGGCAAGGAGGTGAAGGTGCTACGCAGCAAGCTAACCAAACTGAAGGTCAAGGAGGAGGCGGCCAAGAAGGAGAAGGATGCGCTGAAGCAAGCCATGAAGAAGAATCATGTTATACTCAAAGAGGAGAACAAAAAGTTCAAGAAACTGGAGAAAGAGGTGCAAAAGATGGCCGCATCGATGAAGCTGGACGAGGACGAGATCGATGCCGAGGACAAAGAGGAACAGGAGGAGGAAGAGGAAGAGTCCGAGGAGGAGTCAGAAGAATCCGAATCAGAGGAGAGCGAAGCAGAACCGGACAGTGAATCCGAGGCAGAAGATGCTCCCAATTCCGCCAAGAAGAGCAACTTGTAGCCGCGCGTGAAGAAGCACGAGAGTCGCTTTGCAGCAATGAAGAAGTGCAATGTGCTGCTGCAGGCGAACGTGGATAATTTGCAGGACCAAATTCACAGGTGCGCTCCAGAGCTACCAATCTGCAGGATGAACTGGATGCGGTGATTGCCGATTTGGGTTTCTAGGCCCATGAGTCACAATATGAAGGAGATGTTGAGTTTTAGGGAGGGTGTTGAGGATTGATCTCGAAAAACTCATCATCAAGTGGGCATTTGAGCTAACGGTAAACACAGTCGTCGGCTGATCGCACATTTGTCTCTAGAATAAGAAACCGAATGTTCGGGATTATGAAATAGACGCAAACATAGAAGCATAAGGAGACATCCAGAACATTCGATATGCAGTAGAAGTAGGTATATAAGCGTGCTGTAAGTCGAGCCAAAGTTCATTCAGTAAGTTCAATGTGTAAGATCAATATCAGTGTGTCGGCTCGGTTAGTTAAATTCAAATCGTCGCGGTACGTGAAGAAGTGTACTTGTTACTGAATATTTTTGTTGTGTTAAATAAACTTATTACGTTGCACCTACATATACCGTGTTTCATTTAAGAAAAACCTTCAACAAAAATGATCATGATGATAACACTTATGATCAAATAATAATGATGCGAATAATAATGACAAAAGTAATTTAGCCAATGAATACAATAATAATGATAATATTAATGGCACTATATTAAATAATTTACGCTGATGCTAATAATGACAAAAAGAAGATCAATATTAATAATAATAGCAATATTGATTGTAATATCAATGCTAATAGTAATACTAATAGCAATAATAATTATATGCAATTGCATATTCTGACTATCTAATGCAAACATAGAACATCATTAATCAGCTAGCTGGCAAACACTCATCTTATTCATGCTAAACTCATCCTGATTATCTAGCTTTAAAGCTAAATGTATTATGGGCCTACTTATTCTGCTCCACTGTGCAATTGTGTGTGTGTGTGTTTTTTTTTTTTCTGTTTTCTTTAGGTTTCTTCACTTGTTTTACTTCGGATTGTTTTTGGTGAGAAAACGTTTTCCACTGGCGTGCTCCAAGGCGGGTGGGGACCTAATGTCGGAGGCTGGGCTGGGTCTGTGGGGCAGCGACGACGGCCGCATTGACAACTTTGTGCTCGGTTTTATTAGCAGGCGACTGCCTGAAAATTATGGCCTCCTTTGTGTGTCTATCTGTGTGTGCCTGAGTGTTTGCTTTTGTGTGTGTGTGTGTGCGTGTGTGTGTGTGCATACTTGTACTAATGAGACAATTTTCACTAGTTTCGTGTGCGTGTGTTGACTTAAATTTGATCCCTAATGAACTGTCGCTCTGACTTGTTGCTCTGCGGCTGCCCACAGCGACAAAAGGCGCTTCTCATGCCCAGCCAGGAGTCCACGAGTCCACAAGTCCACGAGTCCACTAGTCCACGCTTCCTCTATGGGTCTCTGGGCATACGAGTGCTCAATTCTCCTTCAGCTGTCACATTAGCTCGCCTTTATTGCCTCTGTGTGTGGTGTGCGTGTGTGTGTGCGTGTGTGTGTGGTGTGTGCGGTTGTTGTAAGCGTTTCAATTAGTGTTTGGCCAACTACCAACGCCCCCAACAACCAACAGACACGCCCCCTCTGATGGCAAGCTCTATGCCAAAGAAGTGTCTCTTTGCCAGCCTGCCAGTATCCTGTCCCGTCTGTCTGTCTGGCCGTCCTATTCATATGTGAGACTGAGCATTTAAGTGCACAACTCTTTAACAATGAATATGACTATGAATATATATGAGCGTCAATCTGCCTCGCCTACTCGTCCACTTGAGCAGCCCAACCTGCGTTTAATGCCCTAAATAAATATGAGTTCGTTATTTAAGTTGTGCCACAGTCCGTAAGGGGTGACGCCAGCGGGTGGCGGGTGGTTCGGTGGCTCGGTGTCTGAGTGGCTCAGTGTTAACTCTGCTCCAGGGACCAGCAGATTAAAACTTTGTGTATACATGACCAAATCATGTCGATGTCAGCTCTGCGCTCGGCTCCAAAAGTGGCCCAGAGCCAAGCGCCTGTCTGCTTTACATTCTTGGATTTGACTTCATTCATATGAAACTGAATTCAAGTACAAGCAGGCAGCTTCTATGATACACTGGATTAGACTATCATTGTACATATAAAGCAAGTCAAGTGTCGTCGTATGGCATTCGCATTGGCGTTTATCTCTTAGCCTGGAGAGCGCTACTCCGACACAATTATCGGCAATTACCGATTGGCAATCGTTGGTGCTGACCAAAATGAGATGCTTGCACGTTAATCAGAAGTGCACAAGCCATTGGCTTTGCGATTACTCATGAGAGAGATAAAAACTTTGCCAGCTAATGGCCATAAAAGCCAGCGACGCGTCGCTTTGGGCCTGTATTGAATTTGCCTTCGTGCCGACTCACACATAAAATGGCGCTTTTAATAGGCTGCCAAATAACATGAAGCAGCACATCCTGCACATCTCAAGTGGAAAGATATACATATACGAGTATGTATATACGCCCAGCGGAGATCCTCAGAGATCTCTGTGGTCTAAGAGCTCAGACTCCGATGTCTTCGAATACATCAACTTTTAACGACTGTTGAAATTTTGCCAACAAAAAACATGTATTGGAATGGAGTGCACTCGGCTGTATAATACCCGATCAGTGCACTAATATGCCCGCTTTGGCTGCAGTCGCAGAGAGAGCAGCAACACTTTAATTTCGGCCAATTTTCATGCAGCAATGCCAATGGTAATGATGACGATGATGATGGGGCATGACAATGGGGCGCTGCTGCTGATTATTTTTGATGACTAATACCTATAATGTAGCCTCAATGCCAATGCCAATGGCAGTGGCAGTGGCAGTGGCATTGGCAATGGCCCTCGGTAATGCTTCGCGCTGCGCTTATCCTTATCGTGCCACTGGGCCAACGGTGAGAGCAAAACAAAAATATAAAAAAAAAAGAAACACACACATAACCACAAAAGTACAAAAAAGCGAACGGAAAGTAAAACATAAAACAATAGAAAACCAAATAAAAATTGTATAAATATTTTTATCACCTTATCGATTACAATTACTGTTTGGCATATCAGTAAATAAATTAAAAGTAAAAGATGAGCAATGCATCATAAAAAAAGGTATAGAAAAGCGAAATGCTGTATAGGCGAAGCGTGTATACTCTAACCAAGCAGCTGAGAAGTTGCTATGAAATAAATGTGGCATATTCGAAGTGCGCATACCCTAACTAAAAAGTGCTGACAGTTGGGTTCAAATTTGAAATTGTTTCTTGCATTGCATTTATCATAAAGTCGTTTTTAGAAATATGAAAAAATAAAAGTTTATCCGTAGCATTGCAGCTCCCTCTCTCTCTCTCTCGCTCTCTCTCTCTCTAATTAATGAGTTGATGCAACTCATTTACAAGCTGCCTGAAGGGCAGCTCGCAGAATTGGGGTCGTTCGCGTTGCGATATAAACCAAAGCAATAACCGAGTAGCAATAAATCATTAAACACAAACACACACACACACACACACACACAGCACAGGTGGATTAGAGCAATGCGCTTAACAAACAGAAGAAGAAGAAGTAGTAGAAGAAGAAGAATGAAAAAAACGTCGAGCTAAACAGAAGTTGAGCAAATTAATTGAATCGTGTGCAAGCTGCAGCGAGCTAGAGCCAAAGCAGCTCAAGGCGACTTCACTCGAATCTCTAACTCAATTTGAATGGCTTTATTATTTATAGCCAGCGAACGCACACACACACACGCACACACATTCACACTCATACGCATTTAGCTAGAAAATATTCATTGAATTAATTATGACAAGCGATGAGTTTATTTATGATCTATGTAGATTACAAATACATTATCGTTTTGGGCCGGGTGATTAGTTCGATTATGCGGTAGCCACTCGCCACATTATCTGCACAGTTCCGGCATGCGAATACCATGATAACATGACTAAATAAATAAGAAAGTTCAGCACACATACACCTCTCTATACATCATATACATATCTCTCTTTGGTCTGTCTGCTTTTTGGTCGAATGTCGAAATTACTTTGATTCTGATTTTCTACCAAAGTTTTGCAACTTGAAATTCTGCAGTTGAGGAACTCAGTTTTTTTTTTTTTTTTTTTTTCGAAATAGTTGCCCATATATGTATGTATTTATTATTTTATCCAAGCATAAACACAATTATTTACCATTCAAACTTTCGTAAGCTGCAATAACTTGGCAATTTCAACACAAACATATTTCAAACAATTTTCATATTTTTAATTCATATTTTGTTTTGCATGTTTCAGCTTCAAATTCAATTAAGAATTTTTTAAACAGCACACAGAAAATAATTATTTTTAATTTAAAATATAATTAAATTTACCTGGCTTTTTAGCTCGGCTGCATTCGGATTCCAACGGCTTATTCTATTTCGAGTTTTGTTTTCTCTTCGGATCTCGAAACACTTCAAAAAAATAATCAAAAATGCACGCAATGATTTCAAAACAAATTTCGTTTGTTTGGCCAACAACAACAAAAAAAGTAAACAAAATAATTTTGGAGTCAACACTCAAACTCGATTTGAGTTGGGCTCTGATTGTAATTCAGTTTTAAATTCGCCAGCCTTTGACTGTTTGTTGTACTCGTTGTTGGTGCTGTTGCTGCTGTTGCTGCTGTTGCTGTTGCTGTTGCTACTGAGTCCGTTACTTTGGCACTTGGCTCGCACTTGGAGCAGCAGCGCTTAACAACACACTGCTTCAGGTTCCCGGGAAAAACTAAACTGTTGTTACACTTGATGCATGCGTTCAAGCAGCGCCACGGCCACAGCCACAGCCACAGCCACAGTCAACGGCACTGCGATTGCCATACGACAGTCGAAACTCGTCGCTCGGCTGGCACAGACGCGGCCCGAGCGGCCAGCCGAAGGTGCGCACAGCGCGTCTAAGGGGTTGTGGCGCTTGGCATTGGGATCGGGGGGGTTGCTGGGGCTATGGGGGCTAGCTGTTTGGCACAAGCGCCACAAGTGCATGCCGTACTCGTGTGTGCTAATGCCCGTCTGCTGCTCCGGCTGTCAGTTAGTCAGGCCGTCCGACGGCCAGCCCCAAAAAACCGAAATTCAAATGCCAGCTGCCGCCTCGCTGCTTCGCTGCCTCGCTGCCTCGCTGCCACGCTGCCACGCTGCCAGCTGTGGACCAGGCTGGGGAAATGCCATGGCGAAAGCTTGCTGAATAGCCTGAAAGTAGGCAAAGCTTTTTGCCGCTGCAAAGCTCACATGCAACAGCTACTCCCATATACACACATACACATGAATGGCATACGAATGGCATGGCCATGCATTGATAACAGTTTTCAAAAGACTTTCTTCTGTTTTCAAAACTCACGTGGAAATATCAAATTTCTAATTAGGCACTGATATTTGGCAGTGACTGGCTATAAATTGAAATGTTTCCATTAATAATCAGCTCAGCTCAATGAGAGTTATACGCATAGACTATAAAGTGAGACTCATAGACTTTTATTTACTAGCTACTAATTCATAAGCTTCATATTCTTAGAGCTTCTTTTAACATCTATTCATTCAATCGTCTTATATGGATTTCATTTATACTCTTCCCCAGTCAGTTTATATTATATTTGAGATAGAATATAAAGTGAGATTCATAGACTTTTATTTACTAGCATTTATAAGCATCATATTCATAGAGCTCTTTTTAATACTATGCACAAATCGTCTTATGTAGACTTCCTTTATACTCTTCACAAGTCAGTTTATAGAGTTTTCATAAATACTTTACTATTCACAAATCAAAGCAGAGTCCAAGTAGTTATTGGCTATTAAATGGGGCTCGTCTCTGGCATAGTTTTTCAGCTAGCATCAATGAAAGTTGCTTTTAGGTAACTGAAGAGTTTCATATGAAGCAAAGCTCATTTAAGTCTGCTACAGTTTAAGCCAATATTCGCTCAACTCAATTATCAACCAGTGCATAGATCATTAGCAAATAATATTACCAGATTCGAAAGCAAGCTAATAATAAACTGACCTATTCACACCCCCCTCTCACCATTTTCGTTTCTAAAATGTTTAAGCAGTTAGTTTCAAGCAGTTGGTTTGCATACGAGCTATATGCAATAACTTTAAGTTCAACCTTGTTCAGCATGAAGCCATCTGGCCGCAGGTGATATGGGCGGCTGTAAATGAAGGTGTTTGCATTGCTCTTGACTGGCAGCTGGGGGGTCGCAGTTGGCGTCTTGCGCTTGTTACTTGTTATGCGGCCATCATATATAGAGTTTACAACTGCAGCGCCATAAATCTTTTTAATTAGCTGATAAACAGGTCGGATACGCGATTAGGTTGCATAATGCATATTCTCTTAGCACTCCTGCTCTGCGGCCGAGCCGGCTTCAGTTCGGCTCGAGCCATCCATGCCAGCGCCTTGTGCTCTGGCTGCCGCCACAGGCGGGGCCGCTGCCATTGTTCGCCAACGTGAACCGCGTTGACATAATGCGCTTATCGCAACGACACGGCTATAAAATTGGCATTCAAAGCGCATGGCATGCGCATTTGCAGCACTGGCTCAATAATTAACACGCTTCGAGTATATTAAAAGAGCGACAGTAACAGCTGTGCAGCTGGACCAAGCCACTCTGTGTGTGTGTGTGTGTGTGTGTGTGCGTGCGTCTACTCATGCATTTATAAATATATGTATAATTTGATGAGCATTACAAATGCACCTTCATGGGCGCATCGTGCGTATGCGCAATATATTTCAAATAAAAGCGGATTACTGATGCTGTTATTAGTGCCAGTGATGCGACTCTAATTCATGTTATCAATGCTATTGTTATTAATATTTGCATTGCCATTTGCTCCAGTAACACAATCATTTGTATAGAACTGCAATTTCTGGATATATTGCTTTGCACTGTTGGCATAGACTCTAAATATGATCGAGAATTTGTTGGAATTAATAAGCAAAAATAAATCAGTATTGAGATTGTTTTAATTGTAGAAAATGTTATCCATATTATAGTATTTATATAGTAAATAGTCATAATATATACATTCATTACATTCATTAGATATATAAGAAATAATTAAATCATAAATGTAGGTTATGGTAAAAAAGAAATGATTTTTATACCCATCGAGTTAGGAATAGGACCAGTAGATTAACTGATAGTAATGGCACACTAGGTCCTCAATAAAAAATTATATTGCTTTCCAGGGTGCCTCTCTGCCCTGCCCAGGCCTCGTTCCATGAAAACCCTCTCTGGTCTACAAGTACTTCTAAGGTGAAATTAGCTTGTAATCTGTATTAAGACTTTAGGCTCGAAACATTGACTCCCTCCCATATAGACAGGAAGGGTCTACCTTAACATAGACTGCCTGCCATACATCATCAAGGACTCGGCTTGGGCGACTGTACCTCCCAGTGGCTTGGAGCTGAGGCCCTTCTCACATGGTGCATTATCACTCGCTTGAAATTCATTCAATCTGCTCTAAATTCTAGTGAACTCAAGCTTAAACAAAGTCGCTTTCAAATTGTTATCAGACTCTCGACTGCAGCAGGGAATTAGGATTTCTAGCCAACATTTCCATTTGTAGCACAAATCCATAAAGAAAAGTGTATTTACCATACACCGTTTTTTTTTTTCTTTCTAAAATCCTGATACGCCCCAGTTATACAAAGCAAAAGTGAATGCAAATACCATTTTTTTTTTTTTGTTCTCCTTTTAGTAAACGATTCATCAAAAGCACGCTGGGCAAATAAAACTATAAATTGATTCAAAGCCATTCAATAAACTGCATTGCATAATTGCGATATAGTTGTAGTGCCGCAGACGGTGTTTGCGAACGGTGGGAGCTTAAATCAAAACGTTTATTTGCATTGATTTGAGCCAAATCAAATGGCATGTTGCGACAATAGTCATCAGGGGCCCTCGCCAGGTGACAGTTGACAGGTGACAGGCAGCGGCGCAGCAAGGACAAATATTAAAATTGACTAAAGCTTCGTTGAGGCGCATTAATTGCTGTTGGGCCGGTGGCAGAATGGCGAATGCGAATTGCAACCGACACGTCGCGACGTCTGCTACTGACGGCGGCAGCGACGGCACCACACAATCGTGGAACGGCACGCGCCGCTTGGCGGTGGAAATCGAGTAAACAGGTAAATAAAGTATCGATTTTAGGCCCGGACAGTTAGGGGCAACAATTGCAGCAGCAATAATAACCACAACAGCATCCACAACGGCATCAACATCAGCAGCAGCAGGAGCAGGAGGTGGAGCAGGAGCTGGAGCAGGAGCAGCACTAGGCGCAGCAGCAGCTGTGATGGAAACGGAACTATACTCTAGTTGAGCTGTCAGATTTGATAAAGTTTGCTTGAATTGAGCGGGTATGTGTATATGAGAGATCAACCATCAATCATGATTGATGCTGGCAGAAAACTACTCAAAGCAAGCCATAGCATAAGCGATTAAACTACATTCTATTCCATGAACTATTATATAGCTGCAGCACAGCTGATATACCCCACTTGAGTCCCCCTTTTACAGGGTATTTGACGAACAACTTTGCAGTCACATGCAACATGAAGACAAACCAAAAGCCACCAATCAAACAAAATGTACAACAAGTTGCTACCAAAAGTGGCTCGAGTAGTGCGCGTAGTGCGATTGCTGTGGGTGGTGCGGGTGGTGCTGGTGGTGCTGGTGTGCAAGGCTCGCATATGCGTTCGTGTGAGGGAGCATGCGTATTGGTGTGTCACTAAAATTTCAATTAATACTCATGGATGTACATTGTGCTCTGCATATAAAAGAGCAGACAGCCGCCAGCAGCATAAAGAGCAGCAGCAACACAAACATCCAAACACCAGCAACATCAACATCAACAGCAACAACTGCAACAACAACTACAACAACAAATCGTGTCTGAACACTTTAAACTGTTGACATTTGACAACAATAAAGAATTTTTTTGCTGCTACACCGCCAGTTGAGAGCTTTAAATCGAGATGAGCGCGTGAAAGGAGCAAATTAATTGACCATGAATCTCTGACTAAGAGGCAGATTGATTTAATGAATGTCTGAATAACTGAAAGACTTACTTATCTGACAGATTGACTGTGTGATTGAGCAAGAGTATTGAGGACTGTGTGATGAAGTGAATGGGTGAGTGATGAACTGATTGAATGACTGTGTGATCAACTGATATCACAGAATGACTGAGGGACTCAATGATTAACTGAATGGCTGACTGACTGAATGAATGATTGCTTGACTGATTGATTGACTGAATGACTGACCGACTGACTGATTGTCTGATTGATTGACTGAATGACTAACCGAATAACTCAATGCCTGACTGACAAACTGAATGAATGACTGACTATGACTGACTGAATCACAAAATGACTGCTAGAGTCACTGACTAACTGAATGGTTGAATGACTGACTGTCTGAATGTCTGATTGATTGATTGACTGAATGACTAACCGAATGACTGAATGACTGACTGACAAACTGAATGAATGACTGAATGAATGACTGAATCACAAAATGACTGCTAGAGTCACTGACTAACTGAATGGTTGAATGACTGACTGTCTGAATGTCTGATTGATTGATTGACTGAATGACTAACCGAATGACTGAATGACTGACTGACAAACTGAATGAATGACTGAATGAATGACTGTGTGGTGAACTGATTGAGTGATTTAATGATTGAATGAATAACTGAATAGTTGAATGATTGACTGTCTGAATGACTAACTGATTGACTGATTGATTGACTAAATGA